GGCCGTGGCAGTCCGCGGCACCCCCTGGGTTCCCCGTTCTCCCAGCCATCCTCATGCCCTCATCCCACCTTTCCGTCATCTCTCCTAGGCCCCCGTTACCGGTGCAGCCGTGTCACCGGCCGCCTCGCGTCCTGCGCTCTCTGGTTTGCGCTGGGAAGGCAGCAGGTAATTTGGGGCTGTTCTCTCCCCCGTTTTCCTTGGTGGCCCAGCTGAGGTTTGTGCCCTGGGCGTGTAAATGGCCTGGGGTACTGGGGCAGAACTTTTGGTGTCCAACCAGGTAGATTTGACTCTCAAAGCATCACTGGAGTTTGAATTCGCAGGGCTGCCTCACAGTCATGCCCCTCTCAAGCAGCTTTGCCTCTCCAGTGTTTAGATTTGGCCCAGACTTTTGTCCATCTGTGGTGAAGAAGCTCAGGTCTCTCAGAAAATCGCACTTCACTGCTCTGGGTACACGTTTCTGTGCCAATCAGCCCCAAAATCACCATCTAAAATTTCCCTTTGGCACTAATCTTTGTGTGGGCACGTTGTCGTCTGCCTCTGTTGCAGAGATAAGTGTGTTTCCATTAATTCTGAGCATAAATAGTCTCTTAGTCTTGAGACTAACTAATGGGGGAGTCCTGCTGGCTTCAGCTGCTGGCTAAGGAGGAACCAAGGAACTTGGGTTTGGCACCTTGTCATAAAGAGCTTCAAAACCAACGGCCCGGCATGTGAATCGCGATTTGCTTTGCTCGCTTGGTTTACATCACAGGCGCTGAATGACGAGCGAAGGTAACGGCAAGTCTCGCTCTTGTCCTTTCAACATTTATGGTTCGAAGTGGGGGAGGATGATTTAGTGGTGAACCAGCCAGAAACAGTTTTGGTTAGCTGACCGATAAACAGGTAGCTTTCTTCAGAGTGTCTCAAAAAAAAAAAAAAAATTCCACTGCAGACAAAAAAACCCCCAAGCCCCAAACAATCAATAATCAGATTGGGGTATTGCTAATGAGCTGGAGAGATTTTGGTCTTTACGCTGGGGTTTAGGAGTCTGCCAGAGAGGTGTTTCCCTGTTTCCTTCCCATCTTCTAACGTCCGTGAATACTCCCAGGAGGAATTGCTTTTGTCCTAACACTGAGCAATGGGCATTGGTGCAGTGAGGAAAATTCCACTCATTATGATTTTTTTCTGTCTCTCTCTGATTCATATTAGATTTTTTCCTGAAATTTTTCCCTTGCTCTTTTTTTTCTGCTGTGCTTCTTGCTGCAGCTTTGAAGAAATAAGGCGCATACCCCTCCAACACCGGGTTATATTTGTGTAACGGAGTTTTGTGATCCCTAACAATCCTGATAACCAGATGAGTAACATTTCTGCACTGGCTACCAACTTTAAAACTCCATGTCTGTTCCCGTTTCTCTTGTACCTGTGCTGCTCCTGCCTTTACATATGCAGCGCTGGCAAATATTTTAAGAGAAGTCTTGTTTCAGCCCACGTCTTTACATTTCTTTTTAGACCAGTCACAACAGATAAGGAGAGATCACAGATAAAAATATTTAATATACAAAGGATACAAAAGATTTTGTCTGAAACCAGAAGTTGTTGCTAGGTTTTACCTGAGCACAGACTGTCTGTAGGCAACAATTGAGAGAAAATATGGGATCTGTATGTTCCAGGGATTTAAAAATAGTCAGTCCATGTTTCTCAGGTGGGGCTTTAGCAGCTGGATATATCCCATGAGTCCTCCTCCAGTGGATTTTAGTCAGCAGATCCTCCGCCCTTGCCAGCTACTGACAGTGATTTACTGAATTTGCATCCACCAGAAGAGCAACACAAGAATTTCACCAGGAGTTGTCAGGCACAGTACTTTTTTTTTTTTTTTTTTCTTCCACAGTCTTTAAGATCTGGTGTTCGTTAGGCACTTAGAAATATTTTTGCATATCGATATAAAGAAAGGTTACAAAGATACGAGAAATGCACATTCAATACTGACTGTAAACAAGGTAATTGCTGCTCAGAGCGTTGGCAAAAGGAAATCCATCTCATATTCCTGCAATTATTTTGCTTTGCGAGGCTAAGAGGAAAAAACCCGGTGTGGTCAAACACCGCTATGCCTGATATGCAAGAGGAAATTGTCATCAGTAAGACCCTTCTCTTTCGACACCCTTAGTTTTCTGAGCAGAACAACGCTGGAAAGAATTTTCAGTAACTGTTTGCCCACAGTTGTTCTTCATACAGGGTAGAAACTGTAGCTGAACATTTGTCAACACTTTATTTTTAAACTTGACTACTCTGTAGCTTCGCTTTTCCTAATGAATAATGTTACATTTCATTTTAGGAAGTGCAACGTTGTTGATGTTTCCTCTTTCTGCCTCACTAGTTAGAATGGATGCAGTGGAAAAGAGAGTCCATGCATTTGTGCGAGTCAAACCAACAGCTGATTTTGCTCAAGACGTGATCAAGTTTGGGCCAGACAACAAGGTAGAGAAAAACAGATTGCAAGAGCAAAAAGTTTGAAATTTGATTTCACTTTTAGCCTCAGAAAAGCTGAATTCTTCCATCCCTTAAGGCCACGCGTAACATTTTGGCGCGTGTTGATGCATGTGTTCCCGCTCGCTGTGTTCTGCGCTGACAGTGGCTTGTGGTGTTGTGTCAGCAAGCATGACTATGGAAAACGTACTTCTTGTGATATGGTCACTAGAGAAAATCCTCAAAAGGGCTGGGACTGAGTGATCCTTGAGGAATTCCCAGTGGTAGCCACAATACCAGCCTAAGAGGTCTCCCTGTGGTACAGGCTATTTCTATCCCCCCTTATGCAAGTTCCTCCCTTTGCCTTCTTGTGCTGAATTAATCATTTCCCTGGGACACAAAATCAGGCACATCACTGAAAGGTAAACAGATGAGCATAGCCACATTTCCTTTTTTTTTTTTTTTTTTTTTTTTTTAAGAATATCTATTACCAGAAAATACCACCCAGGTCAGTAAAACAATACTATTATTTGTGCTCTGTTTTCTACTTGTCTTCAGGTCTTCAGTAGATTTTGGGTTTTTTTTCAGACAATAACTGCTGAAACTCTTCATGGCTACTGAAGTTATCTCTTTTTTGGGTTCCAGAGCATAGATATATACATCAAAAAAGATGCCAAGAAAGGAGTAGTGAATAACAAGCAGACTGACTGGTCCTTTAGGCTGGATGGTGTCCTCCACAACACCTCCCAGGAACTCGCTTATGAGACCGTGGCTAAGAAATTGGTGTCCGAAGCTTTAATTGGCTATAATGGTAATTTGTTGCTATTTTAATTATTTTGACAATAAGTGGAGATTTGATCTGAAGGAGAGATCCTTTTGATGTCGCATTTGAGAAACGCAGAAATTCCCTCCTGAGTTCATTCTTTTGCTTTGAATCTTTTCCAGGCACGATAATGTGCTATGGGCAAACGGGGGCTGGTAAAACTTACACGATGACGGGAGCAACTGCCGAGTACAAGCATCGAGGAATCATACCCCGAGCTATACAGCAGGTACCGGGTCAGAACGGGAACGGGGCTGAGAGAAATGACAAAGACATCTCTTGCCTCAGTTATTGCTGACGCTCACGAGAGTGTTTTAACATGGTGAATACGTTTTTATCTCCACCAGTCTGTTTCCCCCCCCCCATTTTATCTAGATGATGATCATTAAAGAAATACAAGAGCCTGTAAAACATAGTTACTTTGTACCTTTGTTTTACTACACCATGACCTCGTGCACTGATAATGGTGTTAGAGCATTGGGATGGTGTTGGCTTGAAACATGCTGATTTGTCAGTCCCGTTGCTGCGCAGACACGTCCCTGTCAAGAGGCAGACGTTTACCACTGCTTTGAGGGGGCAGACCTGCTTTTCTTGAAGCAGCGATACCGCAGAATGCTCTCCACTCCCACAAAGACAACTGACGCGTGCGATGTGGGGCTGATGGAATGCATACAACCCGAAACAAAGACGGGAGGAATTCTGTAGTTATGCTTTCTTGTCATTTGCGGGGGTTGTTCCTGTTTAATTCGTACTCATATAATGGTAATTCATACTCACATAATGTACTTGCTGCTTTCCAAATGTAAGCAGGCCCTCAAAAGTGTTGTTTTCAAAACTATAATTTTAAGAAATGGTATCAGAACTGTTGACTTAGCCCTGTTGGCCCTCAGGCAACCACAGTGCAGAATTAGCTACACACACCCTGATGCACCTATAGCTGTTGAGAAAGTTATAAATAGCTTCTCTGGAAAGCCATAAATAGCTAATAATTCTGTTTGTGAACTAGCCCCGCCACTGACAAACTCTTTGTCTTTGTATAGGTCTTTAAAGCAACTGCACATTCTGTTGATCCGTTCGTCACCGTCCGAATCTCCTACCTGGAAATCTACAACGAGACCTTGTTTGACCTTCTGGCCACCATGACAAGCAACGGGACCGGTGACGCACAGATGGCTGTAGTGGATTGCCCACAGGGTGTTTACGTGAAGGGCTTATCTATACATTCAGTTAGCCATGAGGAAGATGCTCTGAATCTCCTTTTTGAGGCAAGAAAAAACAATTATTATCCTTTATCTGATTGTTGTTTATTGGCTTAGCTGAGGGAGAAGGCAGTAAAGCAGGAGGTCGGTGGCCGGGACGACTGGAGGAAAGTTCAACCTTCTTTGTTCTCCTTATTGTGGGTAGAAGAACTGCTAACTCTTTGTAACCCATGTTCTTGCAAGGAAAATACCCCTGACACAGAGATTCTGGAAGATCTCTGTGGAGAACCCCCAGGTTTAGTGTACGCCAGAGCCAGGCATCGCGTAGATGTGGTGCTTGGGGACATGGGTTAGTGGTGGGCTGGGCAGTGCTGGGGTAACGGTTGGACTTAGTGATCTTCAAGGTCTTTTCCAACCTAAACGATTCTGTGACTGTAAGTCAAGTGATGGAGGAAATAGGTTGAGGTGAGACCACGGAACATAGTAGCGTTGGAGGTTCCAGGCAGCACCAAAATAGTGAAGGCGGCCACAGGACGTGCCTTCGTTTCAGAAGGTTTATCTGAAATACCAGCCACCTCACCGGCCCCTTCAGCAGACCGAGATCCCAGACAGCCCAAAAGACTTGTTTTCCTTACCCTGCTTATCACGTAAGAGTGTCAGTGAGTGACTTACTACAAAGTGTAGAATATTTGGGATCCTTTTAGACTCACCAGCTGGGAATTTCTTCCCACCTGGCCTAGCTATGTCAATGCTCTAAGAAAAGAGTCTTACCAGGAACATCTTTGATAGATAGTTTGGGATGCTCATGGCACAGGTACTGTTAGTCAGATTTTACAGCAGGGACCTTCACACCATGAGTTAGATTTGTGAACAGTGTTTGCTTACTCATGCCTGCATTTTTCTTTTACTTGTGAGTGCTTCAGTTCGGAAGGAAAACATGAATAAATAATTGGTTCTGTATGCAGGAAGCATATTCCTACCAGGAGCCATCTGGCATCCTTAAAATCTTTAACTTGCCTTTTTAATAACAGGAGTGTAGTGTCCTAAGTGAGACTCTGTGATTCGCAGGAGCTCCCGTTTTCTTTTTAGAGAGTAGAAGGATGATGATAACACAACTTGGGGATCTGTTCAGGTCCTTAGACGAGTTCTGCCTGTGGTTCTAGTCTCACAGAGAAACCTCCAGGCCTTGAGGAGGCTGCCCACTACGCCGTGATTCTGTTTCTTCATCTGTGGAGTGAGCTTGAGAGTATTTACGTCG